CAATAATATATCAATCCATCTTTCTTGCGCATCATCTTTTTCTCTACTAGGCACACAAAAGCAACGTTGTCAGACGGGGCCTAACCACGTTATGCGCTGAGATTTAATTTTATCTTATGATGTACTAGATCTTCATTGGTCTCCTCAACACCACCTCAACGTTTTTTTATATATTCTTAAATGATATAAGTCTCTAAACAGCTTTTGGGCATTTGGTTAGATATTTTCATAACCATTCATTGCCTTAAAACCACAGAAATAAATAATATTTTTCATATTTTATGATAAACATTAAATTTGAAATTTCAATTTAAGCTAATTAGTAATTTTTTCTTGCTTAATTATATTTAATAATTAAATATTTTTTATACGAATATTTAATAACATTTGTCCAGTGGCGTAACTATATTTTTTAGGCCTGTAAGCAAACTCTAACTAAGGGGCCCCTACCAACATACTAAGGGGCCCCCCTTTTTATACTCTTTACACGAAAAAATGTAAAAAGGGTATATAAGGTTTGTCAAGATTTTCGTAACGCATTAAAGGAAACTTCGGAAATACCATTAAGTTATATATCAGTATACTTTTACAGTTCAAACTACTCTCTCAGCTTTGAACTCTTCGAATAAAACTTATACACATACTTTCGGGAGGCGCACCCTGTTCACCATTTGATTTGATTGAAATTGGACATCTATTTCTTGTAGCTGTGATATAAACTTAACAATCGGATATGAGGTTTCTCCGTTTTTAATAAAGGTATTCAAATGGAATATGGTGTATACAGTACTGATATTTGCAAAAGACAACGTACAAAATTATTTTCAAATGGGTTTAAATTTAGATATAGCTTCCATATAAACTCTCGATCAAGACACATATTTTTCTTAGAAAAACTTTTTTATTTCATAAATAGGTTTAATATTTTATTTGAAGTACATACATATTATGTACTTTAAATTTAAAATTTACGTATCTTTTATAAAATGCAATATGATGTTATTCCAACAAAAAACGTTTCGTCCCACTTTTGAGAATTTATTAAAAAGAAATACAATGAATACAAAAATTTATAGTGGGGCCCCCTAAATTCGGGGGCCCGAAAGCGTTGCTTCCAGTTGCTTCCCTGTAGTTACGCCACTGCATTTGTCCTTCATTGCGCACTAAATTCTTAAGAGGCAATTATGAATTCATTTCAAACATATTAGACGGCTTCAAATATTTAAGTGTAAATTGAGATATATCACGTTACTTTTCGAATTACCGTCCATTACAGAAAAAAAAATCTATTAAATGAAAAAAACAAAAAAATTAAAAAAAATAATTTTATGAACACATTAAACATATTATCTCTTAACTCACAAATAATTGTAAAAAATTTTAAAAAATTAATTAATAAGAAACGTACAAAATATTAATCAGTTTTAGTAAAAAAATTGATATACACTGAAAAAAACTAATATATAATATGAAGAATACACTTGAAAAAAAATCAGTAGTGAAGGAAACCCCGTATTTGAAATTTGAAAGAAGAGATAAGTCAACTTAATAAAGAGGTGAGGAGATTGTTTTATAATATTGTGTGGTGACGACCATGCTGGCGTTTATAATGGAGAGGGATATGATGCGGATGCTTGTAAGCTACTACCAGAAGAAAAGATGCCATTTCAAGTATTATTAAGATTTATGTCGCATAACTTCAAAGATATTACACGAAGAGAGTGAAAAAAATGGCTTTGCTTCCGCCGGATGTGAATAGTTTATAAAAAACAATGCCGCTCTGGTCCCATCAGAAACAAAACATGGACTTCTTGCCAAAGCAATTCAGCTTTAATCATAAAAAATCGGCTGTTACAGATAAAAACGTCGATTTGTTCCACTTCGGGTTGTCAAAATAAATCTCCGTCACTCGTTACAATACGCCATATAAAAAATAAACAAATAAAACTATTTTCTTTCACAAGAGACTGCGATTTTTCATTTGAGGTTCATTCAAACCATATGGAAACCATTTACCAAGTTTATCGATATGTTATTTTAATATATGTTATATCATTCATTAGGCATGAAATGTATATATAATGAATGTAGCTAGAAAGCCGGAGAGTAGATGGGTGTTGAGCGTGGTGGACCAAAAATTTTAATTTTTTAACACTGATTGTCGCATAAAACCGTCTATACATACACATGACTATGGCTGGTTGATTTATGTAAGAATTCAATTTTATATACTATTATATATAAAACATCTCCTGACCTACCACTACAGCCAATCAATAGCTTTTTCGCACTATGCTACATACTCGTTATCAACTGTTTAATTATTCGGTTGTGTTTACAGCACATGGCCATAATACCACCATCGAGCTATTACATTTAAGGGTCATGGTTTTTTTTTATATTGTGGATATTAATTTAGCTCTTATGCTCCGTCGCCCTATGTTTTCATTTTTAATAATAGTCATAATTACTAAAAGTAGGGTAATAATAATTTTTATGCAAATCTATAGTAACCATATCTTTATAGTCAAAGTAAAAGTTGAAGGTAGACCTAAACTTCTTCTTTGCTTTTCATTGAACTAAAATATTTGTTCAGACGATCACCTATTGGTATTGATTGGGTTTACATAAATACGTTATATTTTACCGGTGATTATAGCATTTTTAGTTCTTCTTTTGGCTATTAGATAGATAGTTCTTAAAAAGTTCTATGACTTATCAGCTTCATGTGTGCGTTTCATATAAAATCACTTTTAGGAATTTTAATTTGAAAAGAATATTTTTTCAGAAATAGTGCTTGACTTATAGTATATTTATGCTACGCAATGCATCAAAATAAGTTTAATATTTAAACCATATAAATGCTATATGTTTGAGTTAGATTTCGAAGAATACATTTGTTTAATATAAAACTTTATATACAGTCAGCATTTTTTTTTCTTTATTTGTACTTCATTTTGAGTTGCTTATTTGATACAACTTATATTGTATTTATTATCGTTATCTGAGCATTATTTTGTGAAATACAAATTAACAAGAATAAAATATAAAACACAATGATCGTTCAACAAATGCTAATGTTCTGAACATGGAAATTAATGTCAGAAATATGTAGACCTTATAGTTGATATGTAAAGAAAATATTTACTAACATCTTATATAACAACCTCAACCTAAAGAGATGGCGACAAAATTAAAAGCACAAAGCTATGTCACTAGATAGACCATTTTAATACAATAAGTATGATGTTCCTTAATTAGGTTTTCGTAAATCAGATCCGTTTTAGAAAAAGAATTGTTTTCTTTTTTCGTAAAATAAATGATTTTTATTTCATTTAGTTTCACAATTTTTATTTTTTTTAAGACTATATAGATTATAATAAATTTCTGAGAAAACATATATTACTGTATACTTGTAAAAAATTGTTTTGCACATAGACTTTATGTCTATGTCTATATAATTATATAATATAATGTCTATATAATTAAATATGAACGTAGGTTAAAACATGAATTTTTCTAATACAGTATGGAGTAATTTATATTTTAATTTAGGCTATCATTTTTCGGATTACTATGGCCAAATAAAATTTCAAATAAATGTATAAATTTAAAAAAAAATCTCTAACATTATTCACACAAGGCACTAAATCAGATATTAAATATGTTTTGTTTTTAAGTGGACTTAATTTCTGTTTACTATACTTTTCACACAAATAATAATGTTGCTAACCAATAATCAACTTAATATAATTAAATTTTCAGTCATTTATTATTAATGGATAGCTTATTTTATCTCAATATCTTGGTTAATTCATTTTATTATAAATACCATATACCAAAGAGAACTCCTATAGTTGAGAAGACAACATCATTATTGTTGTAAATTTGTAGCTTTCGTACATTATTTTTGCATTTGCATGAGATAATGAGCTTGTGCTGTTGTACTAAATCTCACAAATTACTCGAGAATATAAAAGCACAAAAGAGTATGAAGAGAATAAATCAGGCAATTACTACAATTACAACGTGAGCAAAGCAAAAATATGTGAGGAACTGAAGTCCTCTTATTTTCATAAATTTTAAAAGAAAATCTGTTAAAGGAATTGTTTTATAGTTTCATTTTTTAAGTCAAGCGAACTGATCGTCATGGTTAGAAAGCTTTCTACTGTCCATCAATGGAATTCGAAATATTTCGCTCGTTACTCAATTGACAGCGACTGATGACAAAACATTAAAAAATGCTTTAAATAAATGCTTCCGATATAGGAATTATGTGACGTACATATATCATCTGCCATAAATGGAGGGAAACAGTTTTTTTGTCATAAAGTATGAGTGGACTAAACGATAACAAATTTTTATGGCATAATAAAACATTTTTTTAAGTGCAAAATCACATTAAATTAATCGTCATTTTTCCCTATAAAAATTAAGGCAATGCATATTTAATTTACACAAGAGAGAGAGGCAAACCAAATGTAGAGCAATAGGTGCCATACCAGCTGAATGTCAAGCTTTAAGCCTAAAGCAATACATATTGCAAAAACAAAAGCCTTACGTACCTTAAACACCGAACTAAGCTAAAATTTAGCTTTACAGTCAAAACCAACGGAGAATGAGAGAGAGAGAGAGAGAGCTTTGCATTCAATTATGTTTTTGCATCAACGTTAAGCCAAAGACCACCATAAACTGTAAACTGTGCATGCGCAACGTCATTACGTGATACTCTGACGTTTGTTATTGCTTTTGCTTTTAATATAGTTGTTGCTTTTATATTATTAAATATAGGATTTATATGCACACACACTGATACACTGATACACTGAAACATACAACATACAATATAAAAAAACCAAAATAAAAACAAAATTGAATCATAAAAACGAAGGCGTTTGGGTTTAATGCTGTTAATGCTTTTGTTGTTGCTATTGTTTTTGTTGTAATATTTTGGCTCAAAAATACATTTCTTGCATTCCTACTTCAGTTAACAAAAAGAGGCGAAACGAACAGGTTGTCGGTGCAATACAGGTGCGCGCACTACTGAAAGTAATCAATAATAATAAAAACAAATAAGTCTACTAATTACTAACATTTTGTTTATTAATTAAACAAATACAATATTTTATTGACATTTTAAACATTCGAACATTCCAACATTGTACGGCAAAAGTAAAAACGTTCGTTTTTTTCACTTTGCCGCTTGTTTACATATTTACTTCAATGTGTATTTTTTTTTTTTTATTTTCGTTTTTTTTCTGTGATTGACAATAAATTTTGGCAAAAACAGTGAGTGGCATTTCTATGCAAATGTAAGAATTCGAAATATGTAAAAAGTAAAAATATAAAACGAATTTATTTTTTTAATAAATAAAAATTAAAAATGTGGTGTTAAAATTTTAGCAAAAGCCATGCCCAAAAAAATAAACAAAATTTGCCAATAAAAATTCCAAAAGAAAGAAAAAACGTCAACTTCATACGAAAAAGTGCTATAAACGTTGTGCACTGGACACGCAAAAGAGCTTGAACGATGCGGTGCGGCATGGCGCAAGCAGCGCAGCGCACCGCAACGCAGCATTACAATAAAAACCAAGCCAAAATCAAACCAAACTTAACTTAACGCAAGAAAACAAAACCGAACGTAAAAATCACAACAACAACAACAACGGCAACAGCAACAACAACAACAACAACAAAAATATTAAAATGAAATTATTATTCAGTCACAAAAGTGAGAGTGATTTCAAAATGTTGTAACTTAAAGTTTTTACTTAATTCAACAAACAGTTTATTTGTTTGTATTTGTTTAATATTTATATGCGTAGATTACTGTGTGTGTGTGTGTGCTTATGCGAATGAGTGTGTAATTCGTTTTTTCCATTTTATATTTACTGTTTTTATTAAATAAACCAACAACAGTTATTCGATGCAGAAGAGCAAGAGTGTGATTGCGTGATTCATTTAACTGAAATTGTGCGTCTAGTTCAAGAGCAGCGCAGTTGACGTAATTGTCAACGTCAAGTTGTTTGTATGGTTAGAAGAGACCTCAAGCTAAAACCGCAACTGACCAGCCTCACTTCAAAATGTTAGCGCCACTTTTTATTGTTTTGCTTACAATATTGTTTCCCGTAGGCATATGTATGAGGGTGTGTGTGTGTGTGTGTGTGTGTTATGTGTGAAGAGTTAAATGAGATAAAAACTTACAAATTTCTCCATTAAAGTTAAGCCGGGCGATATGTTGTAAGAGAGAGAGTTTCCTAAAAATTGGCATAGCATTTTTATGCACTACTGCCTATAATAATAATAATTGCACTGCCTACTAAAAAGCTTGCGACTCACTTAGACCAGGAACTAACTGACCTAACTTCTACCCGAGATGTGCATTTAATTCCAACAATGGATTTAGGTCACCTAAAAGTGTTTCATATAGTCAAATATAAGTGTTTTATATATTACGTAAAAATCTGTTTAAATAAGATTGGGAAAACTTTTGCAAATACTAGAATTTGCGACTTGAGATCTTGTATATATAAAACATCTGATTGTCAGCTACATACATAAAAAATATCCCAACATAATTAGATCGATTCTATTTTCTATATATTATATATATATACCAGTTCTTACATATATGTCTATATCACCAGGAGCACAGCCAGATGTGATATGAAGGGATAGACCAATGTTTGCTTACATGGAGTATGTAGAACGCACCTATTGGGTTAGCCAGTTGTGGATTAAAATGACAGAGCAACGTTTACTAACATCTTATGGAAGGGTGATTTAATGCTTTTGGAAGCAAGTCGATAAAAGACTTATAACAATATAAGCACATACTTTCCTAACAGTAATATTTACGCCATTAGTTCCTAACTACAATTGCAAAATAAAAAATAACTTCTATAAAACAGCAGAGGTCTGTCATTTTAAGTCGTATTTTCGTTAGATAGACTAGAAAACTAGATAAACTGTTAGGCAAAGGTTTCAACGAAAATAGTTGGGAAAGACAATCAATTAAAGTGAAGAACTGTTAGAAGTTCCTAAATATTTTATACACATTCTCTGAATAATGAAATATGATAATTCTACTATTATTCTTGAGTTACTTATTCACTTACTTAAAGCAGCATAACACTCCTCTTTTGCGCACAATCTTTAGTCTAACACATCAAGTGCGGTTAGTGCTGTCATCCAAGCGAATATTTATCAATTCACAAAGGTGGGATCTTATCTCCTTTGTCGACCAGATTAACAACTTTCCCAGTGTTCTCTCAATTCAAAAAAAATCTATTTCAAATGAGTACTTTCCAGGATTTCTTTCATTGATTCAATAAAAACCTATTTTATATGTGTACTTTCCACGTTTTCTTTCATTGATTCATAACAATCTATTTCAAATGAGTTCTTTCCAGGATTTCTTTCATTGACTCAATAAAAATTTATTTCAAATTAGTAAATGTAGTGCGATAAAATTTGACAATTTAGTTGGGCTAGGTTGTATTATACGTCTATGTACCAAGTTCTGCTTACAATTATGGTCATACCAAATATTGTTTTCTATGTAAATTGAAAATTTGACACTAAAAGTAAGAAAGCAATTCGAGTAAAATTGTGTCAAGTTGATGAGGGTTTCAGGACCTCAATACGTTAGTCAAAACAGCATTGTTAACTATTAAATATCAAAATTTGGGTCTTTTTGGAGCAAATATGTATATTTTTGTATGGATATGTAAGTATGTCCACACAAAAAATACTATCATTTAAGTTTTAGTTTCATTTAAGTGATAATATAAAATTGATAATTGAGATTTGACTGTCGACATGACATATGTCGTGGTTATGTGAGCATATCTACATTAAAAACATTGTTGTTAAGATTTAAACACAACTAAAAATAAGGAAAGAGTTGTAATAGCATAAAATTGACTACTGAGATTTGTTCGACGAGACGACATACCTTCATAGTCATGACCAGAACAAAAGTAAATCTGGCATAACCATTCTCTATAACATCTGTCTGCATAACATCGTTCTTATAAGAAATCATGTTTATATATTCAATGCTATATTGCCGTCATTATCTAACGATCTTTGCAAAGTATCCAAACTATAATCTTATGATAATGATATTATATTAATAAAATAGCGTATTATTTGATTTGATTACTTGGTCAATATTGTAACACTACATAATGTGCATAGAATATATAATGTAATAAATATTTAAAAATTTTTAACTTGCTCAATAGTCCATTCAAAAGTTGCGTGTTAAAACTAAAGCAATGCAAAATTTTTTTTTTTAAATTTTAGGCTAATATTTCGTTAGTCTAATTGATTGGTATTATTTTGTGGATACAAGATCTTTAAGCATTTTTGCATATATGTGAAGGTGCTGCAAGTTGTGAGTTGCGACATCAATAATACAATATATAGAAAAAAAAAAAAGAAAGAGATAGATAGAAATAAGTGCAAACTACAATCACTTGACAACTTTTTAAAAGACCACACCTATTCCGATTTTTTTTTTCTAAACGGCTTTAAATTGCTATAAATGCCGCAAACCAACTACAACAACAACAACAACACCAGAACTAAGGACAACAACAAAAATGCTGATTTGCAGAAAAAATTTGGTCACTTTTAAAATTTTGTTGCTGCTACTGCTAAGCATTTGTGGTGAGTATCTCTAAAACTGTGCAAAAAAAAAAAAAATAATAATAATGTTATAGTTCATGTAATATTTATCACACAATAGATACTTCCTACTATTTCAGTGAATTCATTTAATTTTTTTTTTTTTGGTGTATGATTAAGCAAATTTAATTTAAAAAAAATTGTATTTCTTTTTATCTATATTATCACATACGCCATATTTTATTAAACACAGTCGAAAAGTCTGAAGTAATTGTGGTTATAGTGCAGCGTTACACAAATGACAGCTAACTATAATCCCACCTCATTCTTACTCTTTAATTATCAAAGTACAATTTTTTTATTGAGAATGGGCTCTTTATTATATTTATTAAATTTTTAATAAAGAGGTTTCGAACAGTACTGAATTGCAACAACAAACATTTTTACTCACTTTCAAATAATTTTATATTTGGCTGATCGTACAGCTGTTTCGAATGTTGCCAAATACCAAGTGATTTTGGAATTATTTCTTATATTTATTTATTTGTGAATAATTTTTAGAGACTGTAAATACCAAGTGTTGGACTCATGCCCTGCCAAATTTGAGGCACAGAGTCAGCGTTCATTAGTCAACTGTCTGGAGTTTTGTGAAAATTCATTATTAAACTCACTTGCTGTGTTATATTACAAGGAAATCATAAACTAGCTGTAGAATAATTGAATTAATTAATTATAGTAATTTTTAATTGTTAAATTTCCATAAAATGCAATGCCACTCTGAAGTTGTAAAAAGTTTGGGAACCGCTTCTTGGTGTACTTTTTGCGCTTACGTCTAATATTTTTATTGTTAATATTTTTTGTTTTTTGTTTTTTGTTTTTGATCTTTGTTTGGTTCAAAGTCTCATGTGCGCTCAAGATGTGTTGTTAGCTCAGATCGGTAGTAGCCGGCTTTGTGTCAAGGTCGTCTTGGCATACATTTTTATTATGCTTTCTGTCCATCTCAGACAAACCAAAGATTAGACTTTTGCGCTGGTCTTGACTTCCCTCGTATGTCTTATGTTTTTACAATTTTTTTTTATTGTTTGTTTTGTCGCTTGATATAATTTTTTAATATGCAAAACTGGCAATGTAAATAATTTAATTATAATAAACAGAAGCGATGGAAAGAGATAAACGACTATTATTGTGTTAAAGCAATTGCTTAATTCATTTATAGGCATGCCAAGGCAACTGAACTTTGTATATTAGTATTTTGTTTTATATATAATTCCTATCCAAATCATTCTTTACTTAATTGAATTGAGTATTGTTATAACTGCCTGTCACGTATATTGTGGTGACCTTAAAGTATATGGTAAGGTCCGTAATCCATTCTAAGCAATCAGTATTTCTTGTCTAAACAATAGCTTAGATTTTATATAACATAATCAAATAAGTGCTATATAATTTTGAAAGTCAGAATCGCCATTTTATTCTCTAACTCCTACCGAGATTGAGATTTATTTCCAAATATATTTGATACAATATATTAATGGAAATTTACAGCAATGTTGTTAAAACTAATTACAAAAATAATGATTGCATATCTCCAACAACCAGCAGAACAAGGGTTAGTATGGTTGAATCGGTTATACTATACATAAGTCCTATGCTGGTATTCCGCATGTAGGATTGACTAGGGATCGGAAATGGTGCAAGTAACTATGTTAGATGACTAACTCCTAAAAACGTGGAGTAGGATAATCATATAATAGCAAAATCCTTTAACGAGCTGTGATTGATAACACGCACGATGGAGAACTGTTAAAAGAATGTTATTGTTCATAGAAATACATTTAACATATGTGATGAATATGGTTCATAGAAATATTGATTGTTATATTTTTATATTCCTAAAGGAAGTAATCCTTCTTTACTACCGAATATGTAATGCGTGCTTTTACTCCTTATTATTATTATTAAAAGAGTAGACGTGAAAATTGCCCAACAGCCGGTACTGCGACCAGAAGAGACCTATTGTACCAGTCTAATAATAATACTCCTTATTACTCAACAATTATTTTGTAACAAGAATAAATTAGAAATCTTTTGCAGAATCTTCTCATACACCTACTCTCTTATCTTAGAGTAATTAAGATGTTCAATCAAGAACATTCTCAATTATCTAATAACAATTCTATGGTTTCCTATGGTTATTATCTCATTGAAAATTAGTGTTTATTAAAACACTTAAAATACCATGACGAAATGTATATAAACCAAACAATAGACTAAACAAATCAGTAGCTTACAACCACTCAATTTTTATAATATCTTTATATACAGAATCCTTATGCTTCTTTCAAAGAAGTATGGAAATATCACTAATAATTCTTGTCAAGATCTTTTAATTTTTGCTATGATGCACAAAGCACGATTCATCTTGTTCAATTAAGGCAATTATAAGATATTTTTTTATTACTAACTTAAACTGTATAATAATCGGTGATACTAAAAACTTGAACCAATCATTTGGCGAAGTGAAAGTAAAAGAGGCTCCACTTAAACTCCACTTAGGAACATAGAATCAAAAGAAGTTGTTAGTATTTTTATTAGCACCCAAACGGAACTGCCACTCAAGTAAATATCTTAAGCATACCTAGCCGTTTGTATTTTTCTCTGTATGATTAGGTTTCATATAAATTTTAATACTGTTTTGGATTAGTTATGTCTGAGTTTATATGGAGATATACGAACTAACATGAGCTAGATCTCCGCTTTGACTGATTAGTACACAATGGACTAATAGCTTTTGTTTAACACTACTATAACAGCAGAATTATAAATGAATAGTACTCTAGAACAGAGTTTCTTAACCCTAAACGTACTGCGGAAAAAGCATACAATATGTTTTATAAGGATAAAATATCTATCCAACTAATATCTACTAATAGCACAAATCGACTGTTAACAAACCCTACATTAAAAAACGATCAACTTATATTTTTAATAACTTTTTTCGGGGATTGTACATCATGTCCTTATTTTCTTCTTATAGTTGGTAATTTTTTACCAATAAAGATTTGATAATGTAAATAAAATAATTTCTACTAACGACAAACTTATATAAGGCTTAAGACAGCATTATGAACCACAATTTTCAAGTATTATAGATCCAAAATTTTTGATTTCCAAAAAGTAGTACATACTTATCCAAATTTTTTTGCAGCAGATACGGGCTTTGAGCTAACTGGTACTTGTTAAATCTGTTTGCTTAATAATCAAGTACTGGACACGATTATATAGTTCAGATCAGATTACTTGATTATTTCGGGACAAGTAATATACAAATATTTCATATTTTATAGCTTATTTCTGTTTTAGTTTAAACTTTTACGATCATTTCCGATAATTTTTTCAGGTAGATGGGCACTAATCATATTATATGTTCTTAATACGGGAACTTATGTGCAATGCATTACTTTATAAACGAAGTATTAAATTGTTAAAGGAGTTTCAATCTCTGTAGTTTGATTTTTTAATTATGCGTTCATAATCAATTTTTCTAGGGGTTAGTGCCTTCTTCCTTTTTTAAGAAAGAATATTATTCTACAAGTAACTTAATCTTACGATTATAAAATCTCCTTAGGACTTTCGGTGTCATCGTAGAATTAATTCAGCTCAATTTTTTGCTATATGACATTTAGAAATAGTATTTACTAACGTGTTTTTTTCTAAAAATAAGTTACGCATCCTGTATATTATAACATCCTCTTGGTCCATAATATTTGTGTATAGGCAGTTCAAATATATTTCCAGCATAAGTCGAGGTCGTTGTCTTTCGAGAGAAAATATCGATTACTTATTAGTCAAAGGTTTAATTGATATTAACCAGTCAAAGCCCTCTTATGATTATACAAATAAAAATGATAATTACTATAGTTAAAAAAACTGCAGACTTTTTAATACAAAAAAAAAAAACACTTGACGTATGTTTAAAAAATTATAAGGAAACTCACAATTTTCCTTGATTTTTTTTAAAATTTTTTTTTTAAAGAGTCGTCAAAGTCATTCACAAATCCAAATACATCGCCACTAAAACTTTCTAAGTAAACAGAGTAAAATCAATTAAATAAATAGAAGTGAAAAAAGGTATGAAATAATAATAAAACATAGCTTAGTACACAATATATTATTTGTTTCGGTTTTCATACTTAAACTGAAGTGAAAGAAATAAGCGAGGCTTTAATTGCTAAGTCAGAGCTGAACAAATCCAACGCGACACGCTTTGGCCATAAAAACATGCCAATTTTTTACAAATGCGAAACTCAGAAATACATGTTTCATTCGCCGACGTCTCTTGACCATATACGACCGTACGTCAGTAATAATAATCACAACAACAACAACAAAGACAACAACAACAACAAACACAACAACACCACAACAACAACATAATAAACAAATGAACAATATACAAGTCAAGATGTTAAGGTAAAGTCAAAATAATCGTTAGTATAATCAAGTTGGCCCTTTCCCGACCCTGTCGTATTGCCTCCACAATCACAAATAAAATGTTTACTTAAAAGTGCTTTAATGTAGCAATTAAGTGTCGAACGAACTCAACCGGACAGGTGGATACAGGTTGACAAACGAAAGAAGGAGACTATTAAAAAATTAAGAAAAAGATGTCAAAATGATCAGAGCCTACACATTCATGTTGTATATTGTGAAGTAAAGTGAAGATGAAATGATTGCTTTTCTCACTTTTTAGAGACCTGTAAAAATGGAGAAATTAAATTTATTTCTTCACGAACTGTGGGAAAATTATTTCCTTTAACAGTTACTCATAATATACTTACAAAGTTTTACCGGGCGCTTAAAATGATTAATGACTACCGCAAAAAATTTTATTCAGATATATGAAGACATTAAAGTTTTATGCACAAGAGTTATGCTCTTCACATAAAATATGGGGAAGATATTTTTAGATATGTTAGACTGTAAAAAAACCAAATATTTCATAATAGCAAAAGCTGTTCAATAAACCATAAGCTTCTCGCTTTCTCGGTTGTTCAGTTTTTTATACTTCTGTATTCATTATTATCGATGTTGTTCTTTTAAACGATCTTACTCTCAGTTCTTCAAGGAATTGAAGTCATTTTCCGAATTTCAAAGAATTGATTTACTTTGTCCTGACCTAAAAACAAGTACGTAAAAGGTTGATGAGTTACTGCTCAATAAGTTGGGATGTGAAAAGTAATATAAGGTTTAGAACGAGTAAGAAAAACGGTTCAGATAGATATATTGAACTTAACCATAGTAGTATTACTTCAGAGCAGAAAGATGGTTCAGATAGATACGTTGAACTTAACCATAGTAGTATTTCTTCAGAGTTCCAACTGAACCAGGTGGCGCCATAAATTAATAGGGTTCAAATCTGTGAATGCACATGTATGCACATGGAGAAGAAAATAGATGGACGACGTCATGTGACGTAGACGTTTGCAGTTAGGGCAGATATTAGATATGGACGTATTTATGCGTGATAACCAACTATATGACACGCGGCTTTGTTTTAATGAGGAGGGAGAGCTCTATTCATTGTGGCCTAATTCCGATGTCCATCTGTATGGAAAAAAAGGAGAATTTGTTGGCTCTGAGGCTTGACAGAGAGAATAAACAATATGCGATAACAGCCGGTTGCAGTAAAAAGATTTTTTCAGTGAATCTAGTAGAGTTGTGGAGTCAATACTGATGCCGCATAGGTCGAAATATTTTGCCATATTGTTTTGTAGAGGTTCTGTGGAATTTTTTCCACATGCAAATACCCTCAGCACGTTGTTATAACTTTTCAACTGATCATAGATAGTAGCAATTTGTGTGGAACAAGTAAGTATACTGTTATACTGTTTTGTTGAATTTGAAAGGGGTGAAGTCAGGGAAAACTATTTAATCGAGCAAATAGAGAGGATTTGAAGGAGGTAAAGTCAATGACAACTCTTTAGTCCAGCAAATAAAGAGGGTGGGTTAGAGGATATGCGGAAAATTATATTCTATTTTGTAGTCTATTTTATTTTGTAGAATATTTTATTACTAATAATTTCCGTTTTTGTTTATAGTTCAACTATATCTTATGAGTCCGGCTTTTTCTCAAAGTGCTAGACATCCATTTTTTTATTTAATAAAGTGTTTTTTTTTAATTTCATATTTTTTATTAATCTTAATTAACTTTGTCCATTGCATAAATAAAAACTAATCATGCTCGTTTAATGTCGTTTCAGCTAAACTTTCAGAATCTCTTATTGTGCCACAAGAACTACCATCAATACTATCACTAGTCTATTCAAACATACCTCCAATCAAGAAAGGTAGGTAGTGTTGTCTAGGAATAACATTTCAATCTCTTCAAATTTCTTACTTTTCGGTTCCTAGGCACCGATTCACGTCTTGGATTTGGTTTTCGTCTGGGTGAGCATGCAGATTTTCAAATACTAGTCGAATTAGGACCACAAAAAGAAACACGTCCCATCGGTGAAAAAGATGGAAGTGAATCATCTTTTAATAAACGTCATGTAAGCAAAAGCGATCAGAGAAATGCTTTGCGCCAATACTACAGACAACAGCAACGGCAACAGGAATTGACATCGACAGAACGCAGTGCTGCCAATTGGTTAGAAAATTGGTCAAAAGATATGAATGCTAATAGCAAAAAGTCAACAAAAGAAAAACGCCAACAAATCATATCAGCTAAACAACAGTTCCCGAAGGTTGCTGGCCTGCCAGCAGTGCCAGTTGTACCAGAAAACTCACTAAAGCAATTGCAGATGTTATACAAAATGGCAGGAACAACAGCTACAATGACAATGACAGTTGAAACAACAACAACGCAAGCAACGACAACACAACAAACTAGCACAACTCCTGTGCCTTTTAGAGGAGGTCCTCTAAATTTAGGAGGTCCAGCAGGCTTCACATTATCACCATTATTACCCATTAAATCGCAAAACCCATTAAGACATATACCAACTCTTTTAGATCCAAGAACCAACACTTTAAAAGAATCTCAGCAAGAGAAGTCTAAAGAACAAATTACCAAGGAACTCATGGATGTCTCGCTTGAAGCTGAGGAGTGATGTGCAGACGGTTTTGTTCCAATAATAGTTGTTGTAAAATAGTTAAGGCGAATTGTGTTCTGAGTGTTGCATTTTTGAGGTTGCATTAGTTACTCGTAATTGAAGTGCTGCACAAAACTCTGGTGGTGATATATTTTATTTTTTTTTTTTGTAATGTACACTGAAAAAAACTATTTAAGTTATGTTATTTTTATATTAGTGAAAAATATAGACAAAACTTAATAAATCTGTAAATAATTAAAAATTATCTGGTTTTCTCTTACTGACCTTTGTGAACTGCAGTTATTAGGTACCTGACGTACTATTAACAAGAATTTAAAAACATTTCTAAGCGGGAAATTGTTACTGCAGAATATATATAGTACAAGAAAACAAAAAAAAAGGGATGCAGTAATAATACCATGTTTCCGCTATAACTCAAACTACTTATGGTAATGATATACAGATTTAGTTTTTTCTATTATTTCAAGCTGATTTATGCATATGAAATAGCTTGTTTGTTTACATTTTACACATAATACATGTGTACATATTTCCCACATACAGTAAGACATTTATTTTTAAAGTTTAAAGTAAAGTAAAGCATTATGTCGATATTACGCCTTAAATATGTTGATTTATTTATAATGAGCTCATTTATATGAAAGCTCTTTGTATGTTAAATTATTCTCATTAGCGACCTTAATGAGCAAAACAACCTTAATGAGTTAAGTGAAAACATGGCATAAGTTTTTTTATATTCTTCCAAGTCAAATAAGCGAAAATACTAGTTTCCTTTATAATACTCGTACTTCAGATATTAGTCTGAAGAGTTACGTACAACGATTCACTTTTCAAAGAAGCCGTTAAAGAAAAAAAGAATCAAAATTATTTATTATCATACATTAAGACTGAAAAGTTTTCGGAAATTCTCATTTAAAATTCGCGCGCTGTATATTTTTCGATATTTTAAGTTTATGTAGTTTGGCAGCACTGTCCTTAATTTCTATGCCAAAAATGAGCGCGATCTGTCAGACAGTTCGTTTACGGCAGCTGTTGAAACCAGTTCACCTCAGTAGTGCGTTGCGAAATGTCTTCGACGGTCGTACGACCGTCCTGAAAGGCTTTGTACCACTCATAAACTTGAGTTTTCGATAAAACTGATTCCCCATAAGCCTTTTGTAGCATTCGCAACGATTCTGCACACGAAATTCTCGTTCGAAACACAAAATTTGATGCAAACTCTTTGTTCAATATTTTTTTCCATTGTTTTTTTCGCAACGCACTACTGAGGTGAACTGGTTTCAACAGCTGCCGTAAACGAACTGTCTGACAGATCGCGCTCATTTTTTGCATAGTAATTTTCCTTAATTGCTGCCAAACTACATAAACTTAAAATATCGAAAAATATACAGCGCGCGAATTTTAAATGAGAATTTCCGAAAACTTTTCGGTCTTAATGTAAATTATTTTTCTCTCATTTTCAAGTATTGTCCTTATATCTGATTAGATTACTTTCTTTTATGTAAAAATTAGATAGTAAGTATAATACTTACATACTTATATATAACGGATTATGTTTTCGATCTTCAAGCAAAAAAAAATAATTTCTTAATAATTTACATCACTTAAAAGATATTTTCGCTTTTTCTCAAAAGAGAGTAGACGATATATATTAATTATTTAATTGGCCCTAATAACTTGTTTTCGGGTTTTCCCCTGACGTTGTACCACTTAGAGAGGACCGCAAGATATATTCAACTTACTATTACGTCAAATAGTATTGACAAGGTCCTTGCAAAGACCGTATAATTACAAAGACCGTATTACAAAGATGGCGTGGAAGTTCGTTATGAAGTTTCAAAAAGCTTCAAAGTTTTTGTAGAAGACCGTATATAAAAAAGCATTACATTTTGAAAGTTATAAAAAACTTTATAGCTCTCGACAAAGACCGTAACATTATCAGCAGCTTTATTATGCTCAAAAACCGTATTATTACGGACACATATGGACTTTGGTTTTGACTGCCAAAGACTGTCTTTTATAACATTATCAGCTAAAGACATATACAAAAATATCCATAATGTTATTAATATTAGTAATATTGGTATTATTACAGTCATTAATTTTACCAAACAATATAATTTAAACAGATATATTGAACTCATAACTAAATTGTATTATTTAATTTAATATAACTTAGAGTACGGAACAAGCAGGGTAAGTAAGCTTGTAATTTTTAAAAGTTTTGGGATTTAATATTGTATAAAAAGCTTATAAATAAATAATAAGCAAATTGCATATTTTTCAGTTGCATATATAAACGAATCAAAACAAAAACAAAACTATTCTTGAAAGCGTTTAATATATGCCAAAGACCGTAATATTGTATTACGGTCTTTATATAAGCAGCATATATGACCAACTTGCAAAGACCGTAATATTACGGTGTTTGGCCACAAAAGCTGTTAAGCTTTTTCAGCTTTCTAACGTATTTCAATGCCTTTAAAATAATACGGTCTATAATACGGTAAATACCAGATATAAATAGTATGGATGATATATTCCTAAATACTTCTTTAAATTCCAATGATCATTTGATTGTTAGTTTAGGGATCAGATATTCCATGAGATTATGCTTGGGGAGATTTACAGAGACACCAACAATTAATTTTGTTTACTTTTTTTAATTAAAAGAATAATTAATTAAGAATATCATCTTTACAATTAAAAATTAAACCCTAAATCTCTAGAGGATAGTAGCTTTAAATGAATACTAATTATAATGCTCACTTAATGCAATTGCCCATGGACTATTTAATCTTACAATATGTCACATTCAGAATTATAAAATCGAGTACTTTATCAATTTTATCAATTATAATATCCAACTAAAATCTATATTTCATAAAAAAGTATAAATACTATACATATTTTGTATATTTATCTACATTACTTGATCCATTCTCTAGATGCATTACACTAGTGTTTGTAATATAATAGTTGTTAGTTCATATCACTAGATATGAACTAGATTTTTGATCTAGTTCATATCATGCAGGAATTCTTATCATCACTCATTATATGTAATGCACAATGTAACCCATTTGACCAAATGGTCTTGTCTTTTATGCGAGAGCTGTGTAGATATAACCGTTAACTTTTTATAGCTGTAGGTTCACTACACACCAGTGGATAATTCCTTAGGAGTAGTTACTGAACTAGTGTTTAGTTTACATCGTGGTTATGTAGGACAGATATAATCAAGTGTAGTATGTGTTAAAAATATAGTAGAGAGTGATGGAGAATTTATTATTGTGATAAGAGAGCGATGTCATTACATTGTGAATACCTTGTTAAGAGGGATTAAAAGTTCACTGAAGAGAACTCAAAATGTAGACATAACAATCAAGGAATAGCATAAAAATTAAGATCCAAATACAACAATAAGGCTGTGAGTTTATTAAGAACTTTTAGTAAAATAACAAGTAACTGAAGTAAACTGTCAATAAATTCTTAGCATAACAATAAAAATAAGAAGATAACAATTCTTATAGTGTTCAACAATTCTTATATGGATCAATCCAATGTTTTGAAAAAGGCTATCAAATTATTACCAATTATATTGTGCGTTGAATATAATTGGATTTTAGGTGATATTTTTCCCTCACTTATATATATATATATATATATATATATATATATATATATATATATATTGAAAGCGGTTTAATGAGATTAGTTTTAAAATATGTGTAACTATTTAAATCATTTTTTATATTGTTTATACCGTAATAGAATGATTTCCACCAATGCCAGGCAGTTTCATTAGGATTCATTGAGGTTGAAAAATACCGGTTAAGTTTTTTCGTGCTTAAGAGTTCATTCAGTTGCTTTAAAAGTCTTGTTGGTTCAAAGTTTTCGAATAATAACTTTTTGAATAAAAAGAGCTTTTACTGCACAAAGTTTAGAGTTGCCAACATATTCATTTGTCGTTAAATGGCAGGAGCGGAATTTCTTGAGTTAATTTTAGTGCATGTATTTCAGCATAGAACCAAGCTATTCTGTGATGTGAATGCACCTGGGATATGGCACTTTAATTTTATTTTATTCCGCTATATATTTAACTTTATATTACTTTATATAATTTCGATTTTTGGTTTGGATAATTTTAATTCAATTTTATTTTAAATTTGATAGTTTTATTTTATTTAAATAATTACTTAAATAATTTCATTCCTTTTAGATAATTGTAATATATACTCGTTTTGATAATTTTATTGTATTTGAATAATTTATTTTTATTGTTCAAATAAGTACTTCCCTAAAAAAATAATTACCATGAAGACTAGAGCCTAGCATTTACAGAGAAAATGCTAAATGGTTTCTTTTTCCTGTATATATTAAGTACTTCCAATAAATGTTAAAAGGAATGCGTAGTTTCTCTGTATGAGTTCCTATACATCAGTGACTAGAGAGCACTGCAGTAAGTCTTGCAGCATACACGTGGTTCATTCTAACGAGTTCTTAAGATCTAGTCTCGTTATAAGAGGACAATGTTCCACATGACCTAAGTGTATTCCATTTATTATTGACAAAAAAAAAATAGAGACAAGTACTCATCTTATTGGAATAATTCTCGTCATTACCAATTAAACCCATTTCGAGAACGGTGATATGACATGTCATATTTTAGATAGAGAACAGATTATTTGTATAATGACTCTCATTTGTGGAAGCTGAAAAATATATAATTAATGTATCAAAATGAAGTAATTCGTTTTAATATCAATATTAAGTATTATTTTCAATATATATTAAATATGTAGATATTATTTTGTTTGTTGTTTTTTCTATGTACGCATATATTAATAAAAATTTTTTTTTAAAATGTTTTAAATATAACTTTATATATGAAGTACATTACAGTAAATGCAAATACAATAAATGCGATAAATCTGCGGTAATCCGCATCGGCAATTCGGTTTCTAATAATCCTACCCTGTCAGACCTAAACACTGGCACCTACATTACACAGAGACATATGAGGTTACTAATTTTAATGGATTTTGATTATAGGAGCATTATTTTATTAGAAAAAATCGTTAAGTTGCGCTCTCGTATTCTCATACAAATATTTTTATAAAAAAATTTTTCTTAACCTGTCAGAACCGAACACTGGCACCTATATTACACAGAGACATATGAGATTTTCCTCATATTTTCAATATGACTCTCGCAATCCAAATGTCTCAGTACTTCGGATTGTTCCTATTTTTAATGGACTTAGATGATTGGAGTTTTATTTTATTGGAAAAAAATCGTTAAGTTGCCCTCTCGTATTCTCATTTATATATTATTAAGAAAATTTCTTTTCTAATCTGTTAGAACCGAACACTGGCACCTACATTACACAGAGACATATGAGGTTTTCCTCATATTTTCAATATGACTCTCGCAATCCAAATGTTTTAGTAATTCGGATTGTTCCTAATTTTAAGGGATTAAGATATTTCGAGTCTAATTTTATTGGAAAAAAATTGTTAAGTTGCGCTCTCGTATTCTCATACATATATTTTTATAAAAAAATTTTTCTTAACCTGTCAGAACCGAGCACTGGCACCTACATTACACAGACAAAGCACAAGAAAAGTTCAATATTTGAAAAGATTGCACGCAACGCACATGAAAACAACCACCAACAGTTTTCATGACTGCCACATAAAGTTGTTGAATTTTAAACAGAAGCAAACGAAGAAGAAGTTTGCTAATGCTCTTTAGCTCAACAATTGCTGTTTTCAGTATGTTTACAAGTTACCACAGTTGTGGACGTGTGTTGTGTATATGTGTAATTGCTACGGTCTCAGCACGTCGGTGCTGCAAACAAAAAACGAGTAGTTTTTTAGCTGCCTTGTCGGTTGAACATTGCGTCGAATAACGGGTGAATAAAGAATGCCGCCGCAAAACTAACAACAAAATAAATATTTTAATAGTACCGCTATATGTTGAAAATTAAATAATAAATAAAATTATTACTATTTATTATATTAATAAATAAAGAAATTAGTAATAAAATTCTTTAAATGTTTTCTGTTTGTGAAAAATAATAAATTGAAACGTGCAACTAAATAGAGCAGTGTTAAAACGCTGGGAAACGTATACGAACGAGTAAGCAAAAAGTAAATGCAAAAATTTTGTTATAAAAGTCAAATAAGAGAAGCAAATAAGAAGCTGCGCTGCCGGCGTTGTAAATAAACCTTGCTCGTATTATTTCTTTTTTTTTTTTTGTTTTGTTAGTGCTTATTTTGTTGTTAGTGTCTACTGCTACTATACTGAGTATTTTTGACCAGTTTTATTGTTGGTCGTTAGGTACGCTGCGTCCTTGCAACGTACGTTATTTGTTTGTTTCTGGCTGTTTGTCGCAAAAATGTCTGCAAGAATGTTTCTTTGTATTTTTAAAAAATTGTTTCTATAAAAATATTAACACTAAATTATGTTACTAATTAGAAAATGAAGCAAAATTAAATATGAATGAATAATGTTTAAAAATATATAAAAATAATAATTCATTTATCAAGATAAGATAACACCAATACAAAAAAAAAGAAAAAAAAAAACCTTACAATTAAATATTTTACCGTATTTGTTAAAAAATTTAATAACAAATAAGAAAAAGCAATAAATATATCGCCAAAAATTTTAACTATTTTAGAAGAAAATGTTTTTAGTTAATTAAATTTAAACAACCAAAATTCTTTGGTATATTTGTCTTTAAGTCTAACATTAAACAACAAATCTACAATCAACAAAAAACAAACAATTTAAAAATCTGCAAAACAAGGCACCAACTTCATGTTCCCAATAAAAGCAGCAGCAGCAGCAGCAACAACAACAACAACAACAACAACAACAACAAATAAAAAAGTCAGAATGTGCTTTGTACTGTACAATGTACACAATTCAAAGCCGGACTTTATTTTGCATGTTCAACGTATGAAAATATAAAAATAAAATTTATTTAAAATTAAAAATTAAAAATTATTCTAAACAAACAAAAGAGCAATTAATAAAAAAATCAAAAAAAGTTATTGTGTGAAATTGTTATTAAGAAATACATATTTGCAAGTTTTAAGAAAAATTAGAAAAAATTTATAAGTTAATAAATAAATTTTAAAAAAATATAGTGTTTTGTGCTGTGTTGTTGTTCATAATTTAATGATTGTGTCCGTCCGCTTTACTTTTCATCAAAGCACTAAACATTGCACGTACGTGAATGTGAATGAGGAAAGGCCGCCTAGCATTTAAGAAATATTTACGCTTAAGGTGAGTGAGTACTTTGACACACTTTTTAACAATTTGCACCCTTCATCCTTTTATCTACTCCTTTGCCTACAGTCTGTTCACATTTCTATAAGTACATATTTTTGTTTTTGTTTTTGTTTTTGTTTTTGTTTTTGTATTTTCATTGAAAATTTGTTTAATGCTTAGGGAATATTGTTACCACATTTTTTTTTTATTTCCTTTTTTAGTTAAATCTTTTAAAATTTATCTTTTTTTTTTTGTTGATTTCGTTTTCTTTATTTTGTTTTGCCGCGCTCTCTCCCATTGTTAAAGGTTGTTTCTCTTTTGGGGTGGCAAACAGAGTTCTCTGTTAATTCGGCGGTTAGGTCAAATGAATGGAATAAATTCCTACACTTCCACAGATGCTGTAAAGCCTATTTTCTACGGTTTTCTACGGTTTTCTACTGTTTTCTGTAGCATCAGCGCCACAACGTGGTTGATGCGGCATTTCTGAATGACCTAGGGTGGTGGTGGTGGGTGTTGTTGGTACACATTGTATTGATGATTGTGCTGTGCACTTGTGAAGGACGAAATCGTCATTATGGCTTCATGCCCTCTTATTAATACAACTGATTTATAAATGAATTATTATTTTCCCTTTTATTAATCATAAATAAATGTAAAGAAATATTAAATCATGTCAACATAAGATTTTCTATCTCTAAAATAATTTTTCTTTGTCATTTGCCAATTACAAAAAATCTTAATAAATGCAAAAAATAAATGGTACAATAATCCCCACGGACTTATTCAACAGAAACTAATGACAATTATGTTTTTTTTTTATAAATATTATTTAATAAATTATCTTTAATAATTTTAATAATACAACATACAGGGTGAACCAGTTGAGCTGCAAGTTTTCAAAGTGCTAGTTTTTCCTCGATTTGAAAATAAGTTTGATTAGAGCTCCAAATATAATTCGAAATATTCGAAAATTTATTTGACATCTACACTCGCAAGAATTACTAGGATAATATACCAGAATTAACACAATCCATATCACTTATTGGTACCTATAACAATAAGAAATACTAAAATTGTATGAACTTGTCAAAAGAAAAACTTAGAATCATCACAGGAATCCTAACAGGGCACTGTAAACTACGAATGCAAAATGTAGATTCTATGAAGAGAACGAGTAGTCGGCCACACATGTATTATTAGAATGCCCTGCGCTAATACACATACGGAATAGGCTCCTGGGAATGTGTAGAGGCAATAAAGTTGGTTCTATACTACTTTTTAATGACACAACAGGACAATAAACCCGACGTTCGCAGTGCCACATCCGCTAACAATAATAATAATAATACACTCCCAAGACCATAGTAAGATTTATATGTTCGGATTCAAATTTGTATTATTCACGAACAAAAATTGTGTGTGATTGTAAAAATCTGAAAGGGGATACAAAAATTTTAAAAAAGCCTAGCCAGTGTAGAGTCTACACTGTAGACGTAGTATAAAAGTGTTCAATTTAAATGTTTGAATTCAAGTAACATTTGTTGACAATACTGATTTTTCGTTGAATATCTAGGCTGACGTCATATTTGGTGTTTACACTGGCTCCCAAATAAACAAATTATTTTAAAACTTTGAACTTATAATTTGTCAACAGTGACGTGGGTTCCTAGATGCTTAGGAAATTTATCTATTGACAGGAAATATTTTGTTTTTCGTTATAAACCATAATACAACTTTGCTGGGTTTGTTGTTTTTTTTGGATTTGGAAAAAGCCACACTGAGGGCTCAGGTATTTAAGTCAACAAAATCTATATCGTCAGCATATGTAAGCAGCATCATGCTTCTGTAAAATTTTATGCAAGTATGTTTGCAATCTGCTGCTGGGATTATAGTTTCCAACAGTCATCACTGGGTTTTTTATGTGCGATTACGCAAAGGATCTTGTTTATTCGAACATTGTTCAAACAAAAAACGAATATCCTTCGTTTTGAATGCGTTATTGTCAGCCTGTACGGATTAGTCATCCAAGATCACCTCTAAAGAAGATGATTCGTTGGTTAGTTGTAAAGACAGGTCAGCAGATATTCTTTCACTGTCTATAATTAAAGGTTTTTTATGGTCTTATTATCACATTCTTTACAATAAACCTGAAGAGATAAAGAAAACAAAAACTAAATCCATTTCGTTAAATTTATATCATTTAGGAGATATTTTGTTTATGACCTATGAACAGTCTGAGAAATTGTCAGTAAAGTAATTTTCTAAAAAACTGTATCTTTTAGAAGTCCAAGCTGGACAGCCATGTGGAAAATGATTAATAGCTTCTACAGGAATTAGAGTTGAAAATCGGGTGGACATTCAAATCAGAAAGGTAATACAGAAAATATTTAATATTTTATGAAATCATTTTAATATCGAAGCTTAAACAGTAGATAAATTATAATGTATCTATCTGGCAATATATCGAGTGGTTCTTTTATTGCAATTATCTTCAAAACATATTCTTTTACTCTTTTTATTTTATTTTCTTTCGCTTTAAGTATACATATAAAAGTTTTTTAAAATTTGTACTCGTGTTCTGGATTCAATTTTTCACTAGAAATTGAAGACAATGACTGTTCTCTCAGTTTTAAGTCCGACTTATAGTATCAGTAAAATGATAACTACGAAATTGAGACTTTAGACTTGAACCCATTAAAACCACCTCTTAGGAATCAATGGAGAAGATCTCCACAGAATTGAGGAAACTCATTCCAGTAATTAAGGGAGAGATGTGAACATACTTATAGGCGTAAGGCACTATTCTTTTAAATAAATATGAATATAAATGTAGTAAATGATAAACATATGTAAATTTTTTTATTTTTTTTGTTAAAATTTTTGTGCTCTACCATCTGAGATTGACTTATTGACAAAGTCCTACTGATAAAAAAAAAGTATTTCTAAATAAATAAAGCAATAAATAAATTAACAGTATTCTTTTAGAAATAAAATTAATTTCTGTGTTAATGCTAATGAAAGCTTTGTTAATAATAAATTATTAATAAATTTTTATGGTTTTATTTGTTTTTTCTATGAAACAGATTGAAATGTAATATTTTAATGCTAAAATATTTCATTTTCTTTGTGGCAAGCACAGAGGGAGGTAAAATACTTTAAGAGCGGTATTTATCGATTCATTTCGATAGCAAGCAACCACTGATACGACTACTGCCACCACCGATACTTTTACATCCATCGCCACGGCTGACATCATCAGCGTAATTGACTTATCTAATAAGTTTCCACCGGTAACCTACGAGTATTGCCAATTCTACAAGCTGTTCGTTCACCCCCACTGATTACAGCACCTTTGATGACATTTCTACCATAAAAAATGAAAACAAACAAAAAATTATTGAACAAAACACAAAATGCTACCAATAATTTTCCAATGAGTTTCGATTTGTTATGAAGACGGCACGGTTTTTTTATTTATTTATAAATACATAAATCCTTTAATTTAATAAATGTGCCACGAAACTATTTCCATTTTGTTAATATATTGTATTTAGTGTAAACTTTAGTGTAAAGTTGTTTAGTTGCTTTTTTAGATTATTAAATGGAATTAACATTTAAATTTTGATTAAGTTAAAATGTTACATATAGTCTTTTAAAAAAAGTATCGGGAATTAGTAAATAATATAAACAATTTTTTTTTAATTTATTCACATATTTTCTGTCGCCTCCAATTAGAAATACCGTTTTTAATAATCCTTAAATTATCATCTAGTACAGTCTTTAATACCATGATTTCTTCCCTTACTTAGTAAGTTACTTAAGTAACTTTAAGATTTTTTAAGATCGTTTTTGTTCAAGTCATCTAGGTCTCCGGTATTACTTTGTTAAGATTCAAGTATTAAATGTTTATTTTAGTTAATTTTGTTTAGTTAATAATTTTATTTAGTTTTAAGAGAAACGAATTTTTTGTCATCAGGAAAATTGTACAAGAATATAATAAATAGTTATTTATGTCTTAAATATCCTTCTACATATTCCTCAATTTTCCTGTCAAAAATTGTGATTTTGAACTATTTCTTGAAACATTTTTTTGTTTTTATAGGATAATCTCTTTTCTTTTGAAAAAAGATAAGGAAATGTATGCTAGGATATTTAAGATAAAAATGTTTATCCATTCATTGAAACAAATTTACAAAAACAAAAATTTATTAACACTTAAAAATGTCAAAGTTCGAAGCTTAACCCACAAGTTCCAGCAAATCATATGTCTAAGAGAACAATAGGTCTCAGCAACACTAAACGTAAGACGAAACTTAACGTAAAACCATCGAAAAAAAAGACAGGGAAAGACTCCATTTTTGTAGGAAAGTATAACAGTTTTTTCAGGGAGCTGTACCATAAGCTGTCCTATTAAATTATGTTTCTTTTAAAGACTATTCGGCTTAATAGATCATAGATTAATTAAAATGATAAATAAATAGATTATGTTTCTTGAATTTTGCTTTACTAAAAAATTATTCTTTGTACATACATTTGAAGTAGTTCCAGTTAAGTTTCATTGTAATATGTTCGTGATAGTAATCGGAGCATATTTCGGAACACACTTATCTTTGCTACATAACTTTTTCATTATCAATGTTTATTGGTATTGCTTTCGAATTGAGAGCAGTACCCCATTGGCCCCATTGTTCTTCCTTTCGCTTACGTAATTAGTTGAACTTAACTATAGTTATTAGTATAATAAAGGAGCTTAGCTAATCCAATCATCGCACTTAACCTCAATTTGTATATTTTGCATCAGGTTCTAGCATGTTTCCATCCCTTTTGTCTACACCTATGTGTCTGTGAGTGTTAAATATTCACAAGAATATGTTTCGGATTTACTTTTGTGACTTCCTGATATATTATATACTTGATACTGTACATTTAATATTAATGAATTTCAGTTAATTTATTGGATGCATCTCTCCATATATTACACATTAACGAAATAGTTTGAGGAATGTAAGTTCTAT